AGAGAAGTTGGAATGAGGCAGCCCATTGTTTTTTTTTTTTTTTTTTTTTTTCTGGGCAGAAAAGCCATGGGAAGACTCTAGCAGAGGAGTTGGAACATCTGGTTTGTATTTTGGAAGGGTCACTGGCTGCTGTCCTGACACCAGGGTAAGAGCAAGGAGACCTATCGAAAAGTGGGGAGATATGACAAAGGCGGGAACAAGGCGATAACAGTAGTAATGGTGAAGTGATTGGCTTCTTAAATGCACTGTGGAAGGTGAGCAAGAGGATATGCTGGTTGGACTTGGAATGAGAAAGAGAAGTTAAGAATAACCAAGATTTTTGAACTGAGCAGTTTCTATTCGTATGATTATTGTTAATGTTTAGAAACTATGAATTAGAGAGCACGACACTTGAGCGTGACAGTGTCTGGAAATTAGTTCAGAAAAAGTAGTGAAGGCTGAAGTTTCAATGTTCGTGGACACTTATGCGGGGCCTTTTATAGTGGATTGATGGAATTTTGCGGGGGGACGTAGCTATAGCAAAAGAAACCAAACTGGACATAGCGGTACATGCCTAGACAACTTAGTGAGGCCCTGTCTCAAAATAAAAAGGGCTGAGAATGTAGTTTGGTACATGACCTTACATTCACTGTCTAAATCAGGGAAAGAAACAAAGGAAGGCAGGGAAGGAAAGAGAGAGAAAGATGTGGTTCATGGAGATAGTGGTGATGAAGGTAATGGTGGAGACAGATAAAACTTAGATTCAATTTCATAAAAGATTTACCTTTGCTTTTAATTCATCTTTACTGATGGCAGAAGCCATGTGTAATCGTGGCGGATTCTTTTATTTTTCTGTGCCTGGTAGTTTGTAACGCAGCAAACAAGAGGTGGAGAGGACAAATACAGAGAACATTCTTTTACACGAATTACGTATAATTAGCAATTCTACGGGGTTTGTAATTTAGGAAAGTTTTCCCCAAATCTGCATTAAATTTACCTCAATTATGTACTTACTGTCTTGGATGCTGTTTATTTTGTTACTTTTCTCATTGATGAGATAAAATTCCTGATGCCCAAAGTTAAGGGAGGAAAGGTTTATCTGGCTTATAGTTTGTACAGGTTTAAGTCCGTGGTTGGCTGGCTCCAAGGCAGGGTGACATGGCACATACGCATCACAGCGGGGAAACAGTTTATGGTGGGCAGAAGGTTACAAAGTAAGCAAGGGACAAAAGCACACTAGCCCTCTTTTTGTCCCTTATATTTTATCTAGGCAGACTGTAGCACACATAATCCTAGCCAGATCTATGCCAAACCTATCAGTGGGCTGATTGAGTAAGCCCACACCAGCATCACACACTGTAGACCCAATTACTTCTGAAAAAGTTCCCCATTCATGACTGCATGAGGCTTTAGGGGGACATCTAAACACAAGCCATAGCACTGTTTCCCATGATCAGCTGCTAGTAAGAGCAGTTGCCCAACACTCACGTGTAATGATATGCTGCACCCCTATGTGCCTGATTTCCATTGTAATAATGGACAGATTCTCCTTTTGAAATTGTTCTTTGGCTCTACTTGGAGCTAAAGGAGTTTGCAAAAATTAACATAGGAGTTTTTTAGAAAACTGTTACCGGGAATCAGTATTTGCTGTTGGTGAAATGACATAAGGACACTTATCTAGAGAATATTTCATTCCAGGATACTTGGTGGCTAGCAGTGTGCTAGGTGACAAGGGAGTGGGATCTGGCTCTTCAGGAGTCCACTGTCTCCTTCAGGAGGGACACTACAAGTGTCTGAATCAAGTAGAACAAGCCCAAGGGTGGATGCACTTGGGCATCAGTGAAAGTTTCAAGACACCTCTGTCTTTAAACTCTTTGTAGTATGAAGATTGGGTTTAGAGAAGTTAGAAAACATTAAACTGAAATCCGTTAGAGTGCAGTGTCCACAATGACACCTTTGATATGTACTGTAAGCTCCAGGGTGTGATGGAGTGTTTTTAAAGGGATCATGAGTGTAAGAGTCAGGATAAAAAATGGAAAATAGATTTCAGGGCTGTGGTGGACGTTTTTGAGAAGCTGTGATGAATTCTAAAAGAAATGCTAAAGCCACTGACAACACAGCAAATTTGGAAAAATGATCTATTTAGAGAGAGCCCTGTTGGGAGTGTGAACTGGTATGAAGAAGGAAATGGGATCTTATGGCACGATACTATGCTTATAGGTTTTTCTATTCATATTGTGTTTGAAACATTTGTGCTCTCATAGTTCCCTGCCTGAATTTTCCTAGATTTAAAATAATACTCTCCATTTGAAGTTATGTTTCTGATTAAAAACATAGGCTTAGGGACTAAGTTTGTGCATGGATATATATATATATATATATATATGTACATATATATATATATACATATATATATACATAACTTTATCTTTCACTTTGTTTCATGTCTTTTATGACTTTGTTGGGAATATCTGAGGAAATCACATACATCTTTCTTAGAGCTTATCACCTTTCTCCTTATTTTTTCCACCCTCTGTTAATTTGTGATATAACGCTCTTCCCCAGAGTAATTAATTATAATTCTGCAAGCTGAATGAAAAATAAGTAGCAGAAGCTGATAAACCTGAAACAATAAATATTTGTATTTTATGCAGCTGCCGCTAGTAATTAAGAGAAAATAACTAAGTAGAAGGGATCTTAGCTTGCTTTATCGCTTGAAAGGGAGGTCATCCATACATTCATGGTGCATTTACTAAGACTAGAAGATATTATGGATCCTTTCGTTGAATGTCTATGGCACATTGCCACCTTGTGGCTGCAAGTTTTTCTTGTAATGGAAAAAAGCAACTTACTAAAGTCTATGTGATACAAATTTATATTCTTTTATAATTGACCTTGATCATGACAAATTTGAGACACCTTATACAGATACTTAGAATACAGGATAAGTGAATTTTAACAGAAAATCCATGTTCTCAGAAGAGGCATGCTAATGTACTTATAGCTAAAGATCCATAATGTCTGCAAGTGATGCTCATGGTGTGTGTGCTTGTGTGTGTGGGGTGTGTGTGTGTGTGTGTGTGTGTGTGTGTGTGTGTGTGTGTGTGTGGAGAGAGAGGGAGAGAAAGAAAAAGCAATGTGGCCAAAAATTCAGTTTACCACTGGTCAACAGAATAGAGGTGCTCATTGTATGACTCACACCACTTTTCCATGGCTGTGACTTTTCTTTTGAAAAAAATCAGAGAAAAATAACTGACAAGAAAACAATTGGGGGTAAGGACATAAAACAGAGCCATGGAGGAGGAAAGAGAGCACAACCTCTACAGAGTGTGGTGATCTGACTGAAGTTCGACCACTTGGTTCTGCGTCTTCTGGTAGCTAATGTGTAACTGTTCAGGTTTCCCTGGCTGCAATTCATTGTCCATCAGATTTAAGGTGCAGGGTCTGAGGAGAGACAGAAATCCCTCCTTGGAGGCCCAGGAGGACACACTGTAAGAACAGCAGCTTCAGCAGATGTCTTCGGGTCTTCTGATAGTTACAACTCCTCATTGGAAAGTTCTGTTTCTTTAAAAAGGATCCTCTGGAATCCCTTTCCTCTTCTGATTTGGCTTTGATCCTGGAGTGGATGGAAAGCTATTTCCTCAAGGTCCTCTCACTAAAACACTGACTGGCAATGAAGCACAGCGAATTCTTGACTGCCAGGAGTTTGTGATGGTACTTACTGAGAAGTGCTTGAAATCCAGCTGTTGGGTGTTGCTAAGGAATACAGCTGAGTTTAGAGGAGAGTTGTAGCAGCAGAGCTAATGAGGTCTGTTCTATCTCAGCTAACTTGGGAGAGGTTAAAGGCAAAGTCGAGGTTTTTTATAGTGCAATAATTTTAACTATGTTGCAGCTCCTAGACAGACAAAAGGACTAGATATCCTAGTCCTTGAATTTCTTCTTCATTTCTGCAAAGTTGGTCCTTTTTTGTGGTAGCTGGAATTTCTATAAATAACTCTTTGTTTTATCCTTAATAATCTGAACAAATGTGTCTACACATGAATATTTTTGTCCTTAAAAATTATCTAGACACACGTAGGTATACATTCTTCCTTGAAGGTGAACATTTAGAAGGTATGGAACTCTTTAAGGATGAAAGAGTTTCTTGTAAAAGCAGAGCAGATAAGGCCAGGTGTGGTGGCGCATGCCTGTAATCCCAGCACTTGGGAGGCTGAGGCAGGAGGATCGCTGTGAGTTGAGACCAGCCTGGGCTACATAATGAGTTCCAGGTAGTCTCAACTACATAGTGAGACCCTGTCTCAAAAAACAAAATAAAACAAAACAAAAAAACAAAAAGCAGAGCAGATCTTGAAATAAGTGTTGTGACACAGGGATTCTTTTTAAAAAAGTTTTCTCTTGAAATGACTTTGATTTCTGTGACAGGCTTTTGGGTTTTTTTTAAGCATAAGTGATATATGGATGTATTGATTTTCATTAAGGATTATGGAGCTTAGAAGTTTTTCTACTGTGCATATATTGAGAGCAATGAGTGAATTTTGAACCAATTAAAGAAGTGATCTCTTGTTTCTCTGTAGAAAATATTTTTCCATTGGGGCGGGGTGGGGAGAATGTGTACCCCAAAAAGACATTTTATATAGTCACCAAGGATCCACATACTAGTATACATAACTCAATCAAAACTTTCATGAAAAAGCACTTTCTCCTTCTGCATTGGACCTAGACGATTACTATTTTATTGCATTAAAGAGTATGATCTCACAATATACTGAACTTGATTTCATGATCTGCTGTTGGATTGTAACCTGGATTCAAAATCTTGTTCTTTGTTCAGTAAGTGAGACTGTCTTTCAGATGGAAGATATTGCAATAACGTCCAAAAATGTTTAAGCTAGCCAAGTTTCAGACGGGGTTAGGAGAAAGGGATTAGAGAAAAGACAGGCTGAGAGTTAAGCAATTGGGTTTTCATCCTAGGTTGTGTCGGGGACCCCCAGCAAATGATGCTACTGTTCTTTTCTCCGCAGCTTGACCACATACTATCTCCGCCACCTATGCCATTTCGGAAATGCAGCAACCCAGATGTGGCTTCTGGCCCTGGGAAGTCACTGAAGTATAAAAGGCAGCTAAGTGAGGATGGGAAGCAGCTGCGGAGGGGAAGCCTAGGAGGAGCCCTGACAGGTGAGCTGTGGATATTTCAGGTCCAAGGAGAACTTGTTTTTCCTATAGGTGAACGAGTTCCACAGAGCCTCAGTATCAAAGTCAGCCTGCAGACCATTTGCTAAAGTTTCACATTACCCGGAAAGCAGTTAATTTGAGGGTTTTCTTAGTAAATTTTAATGAAATATAATTTATATACACTATACTGTCCTCATTTTGCATGTACATATGCATGAGTATGGGCAGAATTATACACCAGTGAAACTCCCACCATGAACAGAATATGAGCAAATCAACATATGAGGAGAAAAAGTTCATTTTTGCCTATAGCTTTAGAGGTTTCAGTCCATGGTCGCTTGACCCCATTGCTTTGGACTGTGACAAGGCAGCATATCATAGTGGGGAGTGAAGGAGAAAGAAGGAGCTGAGGCACCCGTCTTCTTAAAGAGCACTCACCCAAGGACAGGAAGACCTCCCACTAGGCCCCACCTGTTACGCGATTCGCTTCCTTCTGATAACTCCACCCTGGGTACCAAGCCTTTAACACACGGACCTTGGGACAACATTTAATATCTAAACTATGGCAACTAGGTAATATAGAACATTTTTGTGTGCTTATTAGGCACTGATATACCTACTTTTGTGATGTATCTGTTCAAATGTTTCACCTGTGTTTACTCGTGTGCTGAACGCGCCCGATCTCATCTGATCTCGGAACCTATGTTTACTTGTGTAGTTAATCTAAAACTTTTAAATTTACACGCAGAAAGATAAATACTACATGTTATTTATTGTGATTAAAAACTCTTTATGTGAGAGCTAAAAATGTGGGTCTTACAAGAGTAGAGGCCGGTATGATGGTTACCAGAGCCTGAGAAGGGCAGGATGACAAGTCAGTGGTTGGTGGTGCAGTCCGGTAGGGGGAATAGCTTCTTACATCCAGCAGCAGAGTGGAGTAGCTATGGTTGACAGCTATTAAATAAGTGTTTCAAAATAGCTGATGGAGAGGATTGTGAATGCTCCTAACACAAAGGAATGATGAATGTCTGAGGCGATGGATATGCCAATCGGCCTGATTCAATATCATTCAGTACACATTGTGCACCTACATTGAAATGTCACGTGGAAGCCCGTGATTATTTACAGTTATTATGTGTCAATTTAAAGTATATATTTTTAAAAAGACAAAAATAAAGCAATTACAGATAAATTTAAGGCTTCCCAAATTTAAAAAAAATTTAAAATATAAAATCCCTAAATCACTTTTATTAGCATGAAAAATGGCCAAATTGATAAAACATAGTTTTTTTAAAAAGTAGCTCCTATTTAAATTTTTAATGCATCTAAAATGTCACATTAGGGCCTGGGATTTAGCTCAGTAGCACTGCACCTTCCTCGCAAGCACAAAGTCATGAGTTCAATCCCCAGGACGAAAATAAATAAATTAATTAATTAAATATCACATTAAATTCAACTTCCATCGCAAAAAGTTAGATTTCTTTTATCTGAATGCTTTTCCCTCAAAGCATAAATATTTTGAAGATACTTTATTGTTTATTAAATCCCAAGATAATGTTTTGTCTTATGCAACAGTCTTGTCTGCCAGTTCATAAATAGTCTGGAAAGTAAGTTGAATTACTTACATTCTTTTGAGAATTATGGATTTTGACTTTCTGGAGATGAAATTTATGGGAACAGAAATGGGAGCATTTGCCTTAGGCACACTGCTGTAGTGGAGCCTGGCCTCATGTCAAGGGGAGGATGGTCATCACAAAACAGCGGTACTTCTGAGTGTAAGAACTGTCATCATGAAACTGTAGCAGTTCATTGAGTATAAGGACTGTCATCATAAAATAGCAGTACTTCCTTGAGTGTAAAGACCATCATCACAAAATGGCGGTACTTCACCAAGTATAAGGACTATCATCTCAATATGTCAGTACTTCGCTGAGTGTGAGGCATGTGTTTTCACAGGGGTCTTGCTGATGTTCTTCTAATACTTGTTAGGACATTGCTTTGCTTTCCTTTTTGGAAGCAGACTGGTTGCTTTTTTTTTTTTTTGGTACTGGGGATCGAACTCGGGTCCTTATATTTGCAAGGCAGGAAGCAAAACCACTGAGCCAAATCCCCAGCCCCAAACATTGCTTTTTAAATTGGGACAGCCTCAAGACTAGTCCAACCATATTTTATTGGTAAGGAAATTAAAACGTAAAGGTTAAAAGCCTTACTCTCATGTTTATTCATTTTCTTTAGGAAATTCGCTTTGATTAAACTACTTTTCACAAACAGGAGGGGCAGTAGTTGCTCTCATCATTTTTGCTAAACCAGTCTGTTGAAAGGTTTAAGAAGATGCAAGAGTATAGCTCTTGATACATGATCTGAAACATAAAATTTAGCCTTTAGCTTTATTTTTAAAATAAGCACATAGTCCTGATTCCCATTTCTTAATCACAGTAGCTCCAGCAGTTCTGTCATTATAGAATTAGGTTACTATATGATTATTTTTGGTAATTAAGTCTCTGGTCAGATAATTTTTTAAATGTTTAATAGCCCTTAGAAGAGCATTTTAAAAAATCCATTAAACATCAGCTTGTTTTTGAAAACAGCTCCTTGAAAATTGTATTGGAAAAGGAAAAAAACTTTGTAATTGGCCCTCTAAATATTTAGGGCTTAAATGAAGTAATATATACAAAGCCCGTGGATGGGCAGATATTAATATTATGTGCCCAAGTAATTGGGTGATTTGGTATTGATGGAGTGGTAAGCTAATGAAAATCAGTGTGGTGTCCTTATTGAATCCTTGTGTTTGTGTAAGGCTCTTGTCACGTGTTGGAGCACAGAGAAGAGAACATCATCTCTAATCTTTTTAAAAAAATACAGTTTCCACTAGTTTTAAGTAATTGTAATAAATACATGTGCATTCACCTTGGCGCATTACCCATTGCTGAAACTAAATTAAGTCAAACTGGCTTTGCTCTAAGGGCCTGTGGCTGACCTAATCTGTTTCTTAAAGACCAACCACTTTCCCAAAATTGACTTTGCTTTACAACAGGGATCTTGTCATTGGCAGTTTCCTATTTTGCTTAGAACCCAAATTTAGTTCAGAGTTTGAAAATTCTGCCATCCAGTTATCCTTATTAAGGTTCACTAAATTTATAGTTAAGAGGGAGTTCTATAATCTATTTGTTTATTTATCCCTAATAATAATGCCCACAAATATTAAAAGCTTATTATGTGGCAAGCACTAGTTTTAGGGACTCCTATGTGTTTTGAGTTATTTAATTCTTAGTACCTATGAGGAAGGTGCTCATATCCGTTTTACACAGGAAAGCACTGAGGTACATCTAGGCTGAACAACTCGCACGAAGTCATGGTGCTTGTAAATAGCATAGCCAGGAATTGACCCTGAGCATCGTGACCAGAGTCCATGCTCACAACTACTCTGATATTCTTAGCATAGTAGGTACCCAGTAGGTTTGAAATAAACTCTGAATTTTATCAGACTTCCCTAGTTGGGAAACTCTCTGCTCAGTTGGAATCTGGGGCTCACTGTATTTGGAGGGTCCCTGAATTATAAAAGTAAATTAAAACTAGGCAATTCATATATATTAAAAACCTTATAATTTGCACATTTGTTAACACAGCAATTCTCTTTCTGAGGATTTATCACAAGGAAATAGTCGTGCATATGTGCAGAACATTAACTCTAATACTATTTAGAGCAATACCATTTCATAATTATTAAAAACCTATCATCTAAATACTTGCCAAAAGAATATTGATTAAACATACTGTATGCACAGAATATGGGAAATAATTGTAAACATTAAAAATCATATAGTAAGGTTATATTTTATGTTTCAATATTGAAAGAGACTCATAATATTTAACATGAAATTTCATTGTTGGATGGTCTCGTAGTATTGCTTGCTTCATAGGACTTTCTATAATTATAACTAAGTAATTTTGTATTTGATGAAGGAAAGGAAAACAACTACTGTGTACTAAAGAATTTTCCCACTGGCATGTTGGTTGCATAGACGTGTGACAGGTGCTATGGCCTTTTTTATACCCCGCAATTCGATCCATAAGGACATTTGTTACTCTTAGAGATATTTTTCTTTATTTCTTTTATTTTGGTAGCATTTTGTGATATACCAGCCAGTGGTGATAATGCTGTACATCCTCAAAATTGTCAGTGACACACAGCAGTATTTCTTCTTGTTCAACTGGAGTGTGGAGCCCAGTCTTGTCTCCACTTAGCTTGGTTCCAAGACACATTTAGGTTTAGATCTGTGCTCTGTGTGCCCCTTCCCTCTCTTCCTGCCTTTCTTCTTTTCCTTTCCTTTCCTCCCCCTTACCCCTGCCCTGGTTCTGGAGATTGAACCCAGGGCCTCATGCATGCTAGACTACTGCTGTACAACTGAGCCACATCTGCGTCTTAGGCCAGTAGCTACCCCAAGGCGCCATCTTCTGGTAAGAGGCAGAAGCACGCAAAGCAAATCCCATCTGTACAGACATATTTTAAGCCTCTGTAGGTGCCAGGTCAACTCGCTTTCTATTGGTAAAAGCAAACCACGTAATCAAGTCCAGCTTCTGTGGGTGGAAGCACATTCCATCCACCTTGACACCTTAGCCAGGATGCAGAAATATAATGCTACCAGAATGGAGAAAAGAATTGAGATTAGTACTTCAGTCAGTGACAGTAAGCCTTTCTTTTTACAAAGTAATCTTTTACAATAAAAATGCTTGTGTCTATTTTTAATTATTAAAGGATATGACCAATACAGGCTATTTAGAAAACACAAAGCACTATAAAGAGAAAAAAGGCAAAGTCCATATTTTGACCCAGATTGGAATTGATGGTATCTATGATTGAAATTTTGACATTTTCCTCCCTGACTAGTTTTTTTTTATTATTATTATTGAGTTTATTGGTACATTCTAGGTATACAGTACAGTTACATTCATTATTGGGATCTTATACCTTTACATGACAGGTCTTGGTTCTCATTTTTCCC